TTCTTATTAATCTTGAATTCGAGATTCAGAAGAATGATAATGAATGTTGAATTTTTTTTTTGTTTATTAACAACATAGATCTCACCAACATATTTGAATCATTTCTTCCGCAATTACTTGCCTATCCAAATCCGGTGGATCCGTTAAATGGTGATGCTGCAGCTTTGTATCTTCACAAACCAGAAGATTATAAGAAAAAAGTTCGAGGTTGGTTTTTGTTTTTCAAAACAAAGATATTTTTGAGTATTAATTTTTTGTTTTTAAATTAAATAGAATATGTTCAACGTTTTGCTACAGCAGATATGGCTGAAAGTTTATCGGCAGCAAATGATGGTCATTCATTATCAAATAATAAAACAAATGATTTAAATAATTCCAATCAAACAAATAAAAATGAATCAGATGATGAAATATTAAGTGATTTTAGTGAAGATGAAGCTGCAGATATGGATTTAGAATAAACTATCTACGCATATTCTTCTTCCTATCTATATATATATTTTTTTTGTTTGCAGTATAAATATATATACATAGACTTATTTCACATTTTATTATGATTTCTTATAAATATTATTCTATTTGTATCATTTAAATGCGCATAAGAAAAACTCTAGGCGATTGAAAGAGAAACATAATTTCTTTTTATTTGTATATAAATATTCTTGTACGCTTTTCTTTTCTTTTTTGATTCTTGAACGCTTTCAGAGACTCATATACAGTATTCTTTTTCTATTGGCGATGCACACTTATAGTCTTCGTCTCAAGTTCCAACTGTTAAACTTCCTTTTCTTTCTTTTGTCTTCGTGTGTACTGAACAGTTATTTTGTCTTTTGTTTTTTTTTTATATCCGCTGCTTTCGCGTTTACATTATTATATATATCTATCTATCTATCTATTTAATTAAGATCGTCATAATACATTATGTCTCTATTCCTTACTGTAGATTATGAGAAAAATAAAACAAAAAGAGTACGGTTTATGATTAAATTACATATAATCTATTTCATGATGAATATTATTATGATTCAATGTAATGCCAATCAATTCAATTGTGAAATAGAAAAGTGACTATTGGGAACTAATAACAAAGAATAATTCTATTCATTCTAAAATATAATATAACTATATCATAATTAGTTTAGTTTTATGTATGATGAATAATAGATGTATGTAAGA